CATGACTCTTAGTCAACGACTAAGAGCACGCAAAAGACAAAAGCAATAACTAAAACAAAAACATTTGTATCTAAAATAATAATAATAATAATAATAATAATAATAATAATAATAATAATAATAATAATAATAATAATAATAATAGAAACATTATTCATAATTATTTCATTTAATGGAAGAGGTAGACGTAGGGCAACTTGCAATAGTCTTTTGTGTGGTATAGCCTAGTGTCTTGTACTGATCTATGAAGAGCTGCTTTCTTCTTTAATTTTTATTTTTACGTGATGATGATATACAGTTAAGGAGGTGTGAATTAATTATTCACCAACTTATATAATTGCATAAACATTATTGTTATAAGCATTTTGAAAAATACTGCATCAGTCTAATTAAATTTATGGCTATAAATTCACTATGATAAAATTGCTCCATTATGATTTAAAAACAACAAAAGTAGGCATAAGAAATAATCATAACAATAAAGAATGTATAAATGAAATATACAAACATGGTTACAGTACCTTCAACAGTAACCGTAAAATTACACCTATCATTGAAGTTACCACTTGAATCTGATACATTGTACTGCACTGTTGTGTGACCAATCAGAAACATATTGTCACCTGAGGTGTAGTCTGACTCTGGTTCTGGTGTTTCTTTAGAGTTATCATTAGCAGTCGGTTCCGTCCATGTAACGTTAACAGCAACCGGTTGTCCGCTGGTAGTGTTAACTGTTATATCCATTGGACAATCTAAAATGTGGGGCTTTTCTTCATCTTTCGGAACAAAAAAAATGTGATCAAATTTATAATAGCTTAAAAGGTATGAGATGACACATTGATGCAAACACAATAACATAAGTTTGTATAAAAAGATGATCAGTAGCAGCAACAGGCACCTTATAATCAAATGTCTTTATATCTCCAATAATATTACCTTCAATTTGTAATGTAATATAGCATGTAGCTTCATTTGATGTTGGCGAAGCAGAGTCGACAAAGATGTATTCAATTACGGTTTGTCCGATTGGGAATACACCAGTAGTCTCAACCACAGCGTAAGCTGCATCAATGGTCATTGCAGCAGGGTTGATGTTTGTATAGTTTGTTGAAAACATAGCAACCTGAACGTTATCCATTACGGTAATATTGTAGTTTACTGTGCCATTTGGTTTTCCCTCATCAGTAACACCAGTTACTAGTGATGGACAACTAGGAACGGGTAGTTCTTTGTCTGGAAATTGCAATTTTCATGAAAAATACTGTAACAACTAATTTACAAAAATAACTATATAGATCGTAGTTATTTCCAAGCATGACTCTTAGTCAACGACTAAGGTCACGCAACAGACAAAAGCAATAACTAAAACAAAAACATTAGTATCTATAATAATAATAATACTAATAGAAACATTATTTATAATTATTTCATTTAATGGTGAGGTTGACGTAGGGCAACTTGCAATAGTCTTTTGTGTGGTTTAGCCAGTGTCTTGTACTGATCTTTGAAGAGCTTCTCTCTTCGTTATTAATATTTTTTTAAACATCATCATGATATATGTTAAGGAGGTGTGAATTAATTATTCACCAACTTGTGTAATTGCATAAACATTTAATTGTTATAAGCATTTTGAACAATCCTGCATCAGTCTAATCAAAGTTATGGCTATAAATTCACAATGACATATGGCTGCAGTATGATTTAAAAACAACAGTAGGAATATTATTGTAAGAAATAATCATAACAATAAAGAATGTATAGCTATAATGAAAAATAACCAATATAAACATAGTTACAGTACCTTCAACAGTAACAGTAAAATTACACCTATCATTGAAGTTACCACTTGAATCTGATACATTGTACTGCACTGTTGTGTGACCAATCAGAAACATATTGTCACCTGAGGTGTAGTCTGACTCTGGTTCTGGTGTTTCTTTAGAGTTATCAGTAGCAGTCGGTTCTATCCATGTAACGTTAACAGCAACCGGTTGTCCGCTGGTAGTGTTAACTGTTATATCCATTGGACAATCTAAAATTTCGGGGTTTTCTTCATCTTTCGGGGAAAACAAATGTGACCATATGTGAGCATATTTTATTTTAGACAACCCAAAATCGAAACTAAACATGAAATAGATTGCGATGGGTGACAATTGGATGACGGTCGCACCAGCGTTTGCCCAACGAATCTAATTCAACATAGTGTAGGCCCAGACGGTGTGACAGCTTGTGCTGGTCATCGGGGGCAGACAGAAAGCCTTATCATTATCGAAAATGAGATGTCGCATGCTTTTCACCGAATTAAGTTATACGTGGCATCGTCCAACCGTCAGCTGACGTAGTGTACGCAAGGTTTCAAAATAAACTAGTATTTTTGTATTTAACATTACTAAAATTAATTTACATGTCATACATAGTTACCTACCAGTAATATTCACATTGAATGTGCATATGGCGATATTGCCTGAGGGCTGTCTCTTATACACATCTAGATGTGTATAAGAGACAGATACTATATAATATTATTTAAAAACACAATACTTATAGCACACTCACCATAAACAGTTATATTAAATATACATGATTCAACATTGTTGTATGGATCCAAGGCCAAGCATGTAACCGGTTGTTGTGCTACTGGCCAAATAGCATTAAACTGATCACCAGATTTTCTTGTGCAATTTAGGGTTACAGAGCCTGAGTTATCGTTAACCGATACATTCCAATACACAGTGGAATAATAGAGATTTGTGTCTGTCGAAGCCATAATTTCATCTGGGCAGTGCAACACCGGGTACTCGTGATCTAAAAGAAAATTTAAGTAATACTACAAAACATTTGTAAATATGAAACTACATATTACTGAATAATTATACATTAAAGTTCTATATGTGAAACTACAAGTTTCTGAGTAACATTACATTACATTTCTAAATGTGAAACAATATATTACTGAGCAATACAAAATTTTAATTTCTAAAGATGAAACTACATACTGATGTATCTGGTGCATATTTTATTTAAGACAACTCATTACATTACATTTCTAAATGTGAAACTACATATTACTGAGCAATACAAAATTTAAATTTCTAAAGATGAAACTACATACTGATGAATCTGGTGCATATTTTATTTAAGACAACCCAAAATCGAAACTAAACACGAAATAGATTGCGATGGGTGACAATTGGATGAGGGTCGCACCAGCGTTTGCCCAACGAATTTAATTCAACATAGTGTAGCATAAGCTGTCACACCGTCTGGGTCTACCCAGGCGGTGTGACAGCTTATGCTGGTCATCGGTGGCAGACAGAAAGCCTTATCATTATCGAAAACGAGATGTCGCATGCTTTTCATCGAATTAAGTTACACGTGGCATCGTCCAACCGTCAGCTGACGTAGTGCACGCAAGGTTTTAAAAGTAAACTAGTATTTTTGTATTTAACATTACTAAAATTAATTTACATGTCATACATAGTTACCTACCAGTAATATTCACATTGAATGTGCATATGGCGATATTGCCTGAGGGATCGATTGCTATGTAATTGACTTCAATAACTCCGATAACAAAAGCATCACCAGATCTGTAATTACTAGTAAAGTTCATAATATACTGGTTGTCCATAGCAATAACTTCAGCCCAAACAACCACTGCAGTTGGCTGTCTGTAATCTGTAGTCTGATGAATGTCACTTGGGCAGTTGGTTATTATTGGGTTTTCTTCATCTGCAATATCAACAAATATTCGTAATTGATATTACATTTTCAAACAAATAAGTAATAGATGAATATAATATAAATTAATATAATGT